GAAATAAACAAAACAGTCTTGTACTGCACTTAAACGGAATAACACATTTGTGATTTTAAATTTTTAAATAAAATCAACTGGTGGCTGTTCATGATTGTATGTGGATTAATAGCACTACACTGAGGATTTGGCAGTAACGTCTTTCATCTATGGAAATAACACTGTAAGCATAAACAGACGGCAACGTTGATCCGGATTAACGTCGCAATTGATCTACCGTCTGATCCTCAAAAAATATCCGATCTTATTGACTTCGGTGTAACAAAGGGTATTGCGCGACACCAGATCATTCTCCCTACCTCATAACATTATCGATGTTTATTTATTATAATTAAAAACAAAAAAATCTTACAAATAAGCACACAAAATAGTCAAAATACAAAAAGTATATCAGTTCGCATATTGACCAAGAATGATATCGACAGGGCAGTTGAAAATCTCCCCCGCAGAAATTGCAACACCAAATCCTTCTTTTAAACTACGCAGTTCTTACTGCCTGGCCTGCACACCACAATTAATTTGATAAGTAAAAAGGGCAAAGTAAGAAGGGAGTGGCAAAGAATTCGCTCGCCTAAGCTTAAACAGGAGCTGAATGCGTGTACAAAGAAATTACGTATTTGGTTGTAGGCGGAAAAAGAAAGAAGTACGCAGTCGATCCTTCAATCCTTGTCTGCTTCGAAACAGACTGACTACTCCCTTTGGCGAACACTGAAGCATGCGAAGAGGTACGTTCTTCGAGAAGCTGGACGAGGAATGATGAGGATAAAGCAAACGCTTTCGCCTGTCATCTTTGGCACGTCTTTAGACCCAATGAAGGAGCCCACCCGTGAAATATATATCAATACCCCCCAGTAGCCTTACCACAAATCCGCTTCGGTTTAAAAAGAAAAATTTAATTAACACCATAGTTCCTGACATTCAGAAGAATAAAGCACCTGGATCCACTAACTACCGTACGTGCTTTATTAAATATTTTTTAATATTATATAATTTTAGTAACCCGCCAGATTCAATAAATAAATTCTTATTATACAAAAAAAAGTATATATCAAAATTGTCCAATGATCAGATCTAAACCAAATTAGTTAGTATGTGACCACCTTGGAGACACTACCTTTCCGATAAAAAAAATTATAGATAGATACGTGATCTAAATTTATGCGGTAACATACATAAAAAAAAACTATTCCGACGAAATTATAACCTCCTCCTGTTTTCGAAGTCGGTTAAAAAATAGTAAGTCCTTTCATATCACTGTCATCAGTATTTATGAAAACACAACTTCCAAATTTGAATCAAAAGATTTGTAGTTTATCATAGTTAGCCGCAAGTTTTTTCAGGATTTTTAAAAATAAAAACAGA